GAGGCAAGCGAGTACTCAGTGCCGTAAATTATAACAAAGTTCAGATACAACGCACACTCTGATTGGTTGAAAAGCATGCTTTAAGAAAGTATAAAACATGAAGCTAAAGCTGTCACGCTATCCGTGATTCACACCATGCGGCGGTTTTCAAGACCAAAGTTTCTCATTTCAGTGTCGAAAATACACCATTTAAGGACACAAATGGAAAGGGAGTTCAGAAGAATGCCAAGTTTTCTTTTTGTGGGCAAGGAAAGTTTTTGGTTGCAAAATCGTTCAACGATGTTTTCGTCACGGCGGAGCGTCCCCTTTTGAAATTCATTCAAGGCAGCCAAGTTTTTTAAAGACTTTTCAGGTACATTATTTTTTCTCTATGGTCAAGAAACACGCCAGGCTAGCAGAACGCCTGAAACGGCACTATAAGAATAACTTCTGCAGTTTTTATCCGTTTGAGCTCAAAGTTTGCTAATGGTAGAACTTTGTATTCGAAATAATCGTATAATTTTTGTTTTTCAATTTTAACGGTTTTTGGCGGGAAAATGACGTCACAAGAGTGACACCAAAAGTTAAATTTCAACTAAATGGTTTAATAAACAAGTAATTTTGAAAGAGCATGACGGGATAGAATCAGATGTGAAAAATTTTTTGGAAAAGCTAAATTGCTTTAAGAGATATAGCATTCTGAAAGGCGCTTTTGTTTCTAAAAATAGCAACAAAATGGCGGGAAATTGAAAAATCAAAGCTCAATAATTTCTTAACCAAAAATTTTTTCACATTTGATTCTATCTCGTCATACTCTTTCAAGATACCCTTTTTGTTACATCATTAATTGACATTTTAAGTTTGCTGTCAATCTTGTGACCCCATTTTCCCGCCAAAAACAGTTAAAATCGAAAAACAACAATCGCACAATTGTTTGGAATACAAAGTTCTACCATCCCGCAAACTTTGAGCTCAAACGGATAAAAACGGCAAATGTCATTCCTAGAGTGCCGTTTCAGGCGTTCCACTAGCCCGGTGTGAACGGAATTTATGTATGTATAAATGTACGTATCACAAACGTTGTCTTCATTTTGTCATCAGCGCTAAAGAAAAATTACAAAATGCAGCCCTATTTGAGGGGGATTTTGTGTTGAATTTTGCCATGTGCCCATCCGATTTTACTTGCTTTTAGATTATCTTCCTATTTTTTTGATAAAAATTTTCAAGGAATAACTTCTCTGTCTATTCTTTTGAGTTTGTTTATTCATAACGTCAGCTGAAAACACGATTGCGAGACTACAGCATCACTGGGAAGACGTCGGCGAATTTTATAGAATTTTTACTTTCAGCTTCATTTTTTTGGACCCTTTAAGCAACTTACTTTGAAATTGTCATGTTAATGACGTCCGCAATTCGGCCGGTTTTGAAAGCAGTTTTTACCTATAGAAACCGATTTTTGGACGTAAAAAGTACATTTCCTCTGCATTCAACTTCACGGAACGTTTCGCTAGTTTCACTTTGAGATAGCTTTGATGTTTTGACAGCTTTTGTGTTATTCAACTAATCAAATCATTTGGCAACATTTGGTCCATTTTAAAAAGCTTTGTGATTGTTGAGCGTGTTTTATGAGAGTGTAGATCGATGGTAAATGCCTATACTCTCTTTCTGTACCAAACTCAGTTTTGTCATAATAAGTGTCACGCAACTTAATCGTATCTTCAAATATTTTCAACAAATTGCAAAGATTGTAATACTTGATGTGCCTCAGTTAATAATGATATTGCATTAACAAGATTTCATACTTATGTTCATGACGCGAAAATGACAGGAGGAAGGTTTTATGACCCAGCTGTAGAGGGCTTAAAGACCTTTAAAAAAGACTCGTCATGTTCGTCCAAATTCATCAAACCTTGATTGATGCAATACAGTAAAACCCCGCCTATAAGAACCTAGATTTTTCCAAGTCAGCCTGAACAGGTTCTTATATAAATGGTGCTTAACTTGAAATCAGGCTATCTAGGTTCTTAAATGGGTTCTTAATTTTTGGTAAGAAAAAAAGTACTTGTATTGGTGGGTGTGGCCTTTTATATTAAATTATTCACACATTTTCATTCTTGTTGCATACATTAATCATACAAAATACAACTTTATATTACTTTGGAAATTAAGAACCTACTTTGAAATTTCAGCCTGAAATGATTCTTATGTGAAGGGTGATTAAAATGAAAATTCCAGCCTGAAAGGTTCTTAAATTGTAGGTTCTTACACGCGGGGTTTTACTGTACGTTGAATCTGGTTTAGCGTCTTGTTAAACGGTGTTGCATTTCGTTCAATGGCATTTGATCAGGATTGAATGATTTCGATGAAAACGGTTTCCGGATGAAATAAAACCCTAAACACGACTTTCAGAATTCCACGTTCACTATTTATTATACTGCGTTATTCTCTGACCTTACTCAGGGGCACCCAACGAGAATATAGTTCAAAACCACTTAAACATAGCATTGTTAAACGAATTTTAGTATTTAAACCGTAGATATAGGCATATTTTTATCCCCTAAAAATTTTTCAGGGATTCGGAATTCGTAGCTGAAAGTCTAGTGGTCCGAAAATTATAGGGATCAAAAGTTACCTTTTCGAAAATTTCAGCCAGATAAGAGGCTCCCGAAAATTATAGGTGACCTTTTTAGGGTAAAAATCCGTTAAAAATGGGCAGTTATACCTTTTCTTAGATGTTCGAAAATCCTAGGATAGGTAGGCAAGCAAGAAATTTTACAACAAATGTTCCGAAAATTCTAGATGTCAAATCGTCTTCCGAACAGATATTTTCCGAAAATTGACGTTGGGTGCCCCTGCTTACTGCAACCCAACCAGGTTGCACAGAATACCTGGTAAGTTTGCAGTCTCTACTATGACAAAGCACTCAAATTCACCCCTCAACAAGCATATGACGACTGAACTTATTTTTCATGATCACTTCGTAGCTAATAGCAAGATCGTCAAAAAACTAATTTCACCAAAGCTTATGCCATTATTTAGAGGCATACATGAGCTCCACGCAGCTAGCTTTCACTGAAACAAATTCTAAAATTGATCAAGGTACAAAAAGCTGCTCTGGAAATAATACAATAATGCAATTCTGCATACTTATGAAAAAAAGCGAAAAGAGAGTTTAATAGAGCGTTTTTAACTGAAGTTAGGTCTTCCATATTGGTGCCCTAAAACAATTAAACGGCGGCCATGTTAGTGCCTCCCAAACCAGTGGTGTGGGAGATGAACCTTTTTTTCTTTTTGAACATTCTTTTGTCTCAATACGTTGGCATAGCTGCTGGTCACGTGAATGAGTGACTAACTGCAACTAAGGGACCGTTCATTTTTTTAATCAAGTGGGGTGGGTGGGGGGGCTGGCGGGATTTGAAGGGGGGGCATGAAAAAATTGGCTTTAAAGGGTGGATCAAAAGGAAAAAAATACTGGCTTTAGAGGGGGGTCATTAAAAAATTCCTTCAAATTTTCCAGTGACGGCATTTGTAATAATGCAAACAGTCTACCAGAATGCTAGCCTGCGTGCAGACGATAACTAAACTCTGATTAGTACCGTCTGCGAAGCAGCGCAGAGATCCTTGTTCTGGACCCCCAACGGACTCAACGAATTACCGGAAGTGCGTTTCGAATTCCCCTTCAACCTGATTGGCGATCACGACAAACAAAACAAAGGTCTTCTTTAACTGGCCAATCGTGGCGTGTACTCAAATCTGGGTACACAGCTGGAAGTCCAGAACAAGGATTTCGGCGCTGTTTCGCAGACGGAGTTAACCAGAGTTTAATTTCGTCTGGGCGCAGGCTACCAGAATGCCAAAAACCAGCGTGTCTGACATTCAGAAAGTTCAGGTTTTTCCGGGGAACCATGCCCCCGGACCGCCTACTTTATTATGCATCAAAAGGCAATTCTACCTCACTAAAATGCAAAAAAGCATAAAAGCATACCAATATCGAACGTTTCATTAGGGAAAAATAACAAACTCAGCCATTTTTTTCTTTGTCCTCCCTCTCTCTTTTTTTTTATGAGGGGGGATCTCAATTAATTTGGTATACAAGGGAGGGCCGCCTAGAAAAATTCCTTGTGAAGAGGGGGGTCATCATATACTGCATGGGCTACCCGTGGAATACCACCAGTCCCCCTCCCCCATTAAAAATGAACGGTCGAGGTTTGTTTAAATGAAGCTGTTGATTCAGCTCAATACATAATGACTACTTACAAGCCAGATACTGAACACTGCTAAATTTAACCCATTCGCTCCTGGAGATTTTGCCGAAAAACGCGTTTTGAAGCTAGTCGAGTGGTTTTCTGGTCACTGTCGTGCTATAAAGAGCTAAAACTTACCACAAACTGGTTTACAGGTCGAACACTTCGCGGCCTTCTGATCCAGATGCAAAATATCAGCTTGCGAAGTTCGGGCATGCGCAGAAAGCAAAATTTCGAGAGTATTTGGGTTTAAAAGTGACACAGCAGTCTTGACTTTTACTTTTCGCTTTCTCTCCTCCCCTCTTTTTTCGCTTTTCTTGCCTCATTTTTTTTCTCTTGCTGGGCATTTAGTAGGCTTCATTTCCTGGTTTTTAGGAAAGCTTTTAGGATCTTAGGATTAGGTGAAAGGAAAGGTAGGTGGGTAATGGAACAAGATTTTCATGGAGATTTTCAGGTCAATGTCACGTGGTTTTTTGCTTGTTTCTCCGGTGTCCTTGACTAAATTGTGCTCATTCTGGTATGGTTTGAAAGATCTCTTCACTCTGCACAAGTTAGCGAAGAAAGTTGCCTTGACCATTAAAACTGATGACGTCACAATGGGTAGAAAGGACCTGGATCCGCACGGGCGGTTACGGGCGGTTCAGGGGCGAATGGGTTAAGATCTACAAACTTCACTTTACTTAAACTTGTGTAGTTTTTTGTGGAATGGCAAGAGAGTCAGGTTACAACTTTTTTTAACATCCTTAACAGTTAACTTACAGTCAACACCTATACAATTCAATGTATGTTTACCATCTCGACAATCTCTTCATCTTCATCAACTAGTAAACTTACTTCATCGGCATCAACGCCAGAATTTTCCTGCCCTTGATTGGCTCGTGGTACTCTGTTCAAGTAGGCTTCAACAATTTTAGGAGCGTTCTCTTCAATGGCCAAGGCCCAAATTCGTTTTTGTCTTTCTCCTCCTAGGTATTTGGTGACGATCTTGGGGAATAACCCGGTAAAAAACGCAACTGCAGTTTTTGCAACAGGCTTAAGACCGAGATGTAGCCGCATTATCAAGTAAAAGACAAGGAATACGAAACTTGAAATGAAGGCCACCTTCAAAATCAATATGCAAAGAGTTTCTCTGATGGGCTTAAGCTCTGCGCAAGCCATATCGAAAAGCTCCTTCGGGATTTTTATCACGTTGCGTTTGCTTTTGGAAGGATCGGTTTTGACGTTTGTGCACAGTCCCTCGTGGGAGATTCGATGACTTTGTTTTTTGTAACAGTTAAAAATTGCAAGGGAGATATCATGGTACCTGCTACTGAATGAGCTGTAGCTGCTCATCAAGTAGTAACAGAAAAGAAGAAAACAGGCCACAAAGGGGGGACTTTCATCAGGAAACGAAAGTGCCATGATGACGGCCAGTAAAAGGGTTAACAGAATACCCAAAGAGGCACATGTCAAAATACAACCTCCGCCGAAAGAGGCTAACAAACTTACAACGAAGTTGTCGATCAATTGAACGTACCTTTTCAAAGCTGGTAAACGAACAAAAAGGGACGACATGTACAGCTTTGAAAGAAATGCCTGCGAGCACGACCTCAAAAAGACAAACTGAGGAACTGTACTAAAAAATTCAATATACAGCCGCAGCAGCGATGATAAAAGTAATAATATAACAGCAAATGGAAGAGTGAGCAAAACAGTACAAACAGAGGACCACGAATAACCCATCTTGTATGCAAATCCTTCAGAGTAATTATTTCATAATACCTTTGAAGACCTCGAACGAACAAGCTCCAGCATTTAGCTAAAATCAGGGGTTGCGCTCGCATATGGTTGAGGATTTGCCGAGGAATATCACTGCATAAACATTGAGCACGAGGGTTACATTTCAATGTTTGACAAGCGAAGCAGTTCTTCATTTCTGGTTTTACTGTATGCAGAAATAACAAACAAAAAAATACCTTAATAGAGTAGATGGCCACGCATACTGTGTGAAATGGAAAGGCAAAAATAGAGAAATAAGGATTCACAATAACAACTCCAAGAGCGACGGGAAGAATCGAAAGCATCACGAGTAGGGTACGGAATATGAACATTTTTCCAGTCTGACACCGAGTAGATTTGACGATAGAGCAATCATTGAAGAATAAATTGTTCCCCACCGCACTTCGAATACTAACTGGACTTGCTCCTTCTAGGACAATATATCGAATGCCATTTTCCATGACAAGTGTTGGAGGGAAAAGACAAAGTAAGGCTGGGAGATGGTTCGAACAAAGAACCCCCAACACGATGATAAATACAACGTAACCTGAAACCAATGACGACTGAACTTCCTGTGTTGTAAATACAACGTAGCCCATCTCTTCGATACTCTCCTTTACTTCTTTTCGAAAGTCTCTGGGTCTTAAAATCGTTATGCTTCTGGGCTCAAAGTGGCAAAACCCTTTGATTTGTCCTTCCTCGTAGCAACTAACAATCCAAGTCAAAGTCCAAACGCCTTTAATTCCGCGAGAAAAGCTGGAAAGCGTAATGTTTGCCGGTGTCGATACGTTAAAGTTGTCAGTAAAAAGCGATTTGTAAGATGTTTGGTTAAAGCATTTCTTATTCACCTCCAGGTCATAGAGAACATTAAATGTGATCAGTCTCTTCTTTGTAAACACGGGATCACATTGTTTGGTGAAATCAGACTCAGTAACTCTACAGTTCCAGCTACATGTTGTATGATTGCTGAAGCCCTCGCTGATAGAGTGCTCTTCTTCTGTACCACTGTGTTGAGGTGAACCCTGGACAAGCTGCACGGCTAGTAACACCACAAAACAGTGCGGGGCAGCTGACAGCATCCTCAACAGATTTGGAAAAAAGGCAATTATAAGTGCACCTAGTGCGAGCTGTAAACTTCAATCTGCTGCGTAAGCAAAATACTATATACGCCTAGACAGTTCGGGAGTATCAGTTCGGGAGTATGCCAGTTTTGGAAGAAGCGAAAACAATGGTTACGTCACCAACCATAACATGATCACCATGCGATGGTCATTTTCAAAACATACAAAATGGCGGACAAGGGAGAGGAGAGGAAAGAGTATTGACCAAAATTCTCGTTTATTCTTTTTTTATCGAGCCTTTTATTTGTCTTTTCGTTACTATGAATTGGGAAGTACCTTGAGGACAGGGAATAACCATTCTTGCGCTATAGTTCTTCGTTTATCGCGCGCTTAGTAGGCACTGCGTATGTAATCAGTACATCGAAAATAGGTAAGCACGCTAACAAGTTTGTACCAATTTATTTCATTATTTTTTTATATCATAAGGAAAAAAGAATGCTTTGGAAACAACTAAAAAGTGAGTTGTTCTATAATTCATTTCCTTATGTTTGCTTTCACAGTAAGTGTTAATGTGATTTTTCTCGTTGCTTCTGTTTCTCTCCCGCGAGTGAGCAACTGGCCGGAGAAGACGGCTGTAATTCAGGTTATTGTTTTGGTGCAAGCGAGTCATTTGTGAGTAAAATATCTGTTTTTTCGAATATGATGTTCTGTTGGTTTATGTCTTGACGCGGTTCCGTCCAGGTATTCAACAGGTTTACAAGGGATTTCTGAGGGTATTGTGCCCGCATTTTCTTCTTGAAAACCCACAAAGTGAAAATCTTACTTATTATCCCTGATCATTTTTTTTTGTCCCGCTTCAAAAAAACCTATTGCTTTTAATTATCCCACTTTCTGAAGTTCACTGATTATTTGGTCAAGCTTAACAAATGCAAGAGGCTCTTTAGAATTTAATATACATATTGGAAAACTAAGAATTATGCTTGTTACATGCTTTTGGATCTGTTGATTAAAATGGGACACTATAGTCTTGTAGTCCACCGGATTTGACCAGAGGTTAGAGATCAACAAGGTTATGGTTTGTTATAAAATATCCTCTTGTATGGGATTTGATGTTACATCCGAATAATACTAAATTATTGTCTTTAACTCTGGGGTTGCCTTTAAACCAAAGGAATTGTAACTTTGAGGAGCACTTTTCTCCAAGTCTTCTCTGTGGGGACCCTCAAACAATTCTATTAGACAAGGTTTGGCCCAAAATAATAATGATTACTGCATTTGACATGGACACAACATAAGTTTTCCAAAGTTCTTTTTCATAGCCGGTTCTTCATGTTTCTACTGAACAACACTTTCAAGAAAACAAAGCTCGCACATCAGAGTAAAGATATAAAAGTTATTTATTGTTACATTTTGTTTTTTGTAAATAAACATTTTATTTTAGGTCCTGACAGTTAATTCTTTCCATATTACTGTTTTTGATTCTAACCTGCATGACTCGTTGCCATGGCTCACTGGCTCGCATATTATACACACTCTTTTATCTCAAAATCTTGTTTTTTAACACCTTCTTGGACATGAAAACCAAAAACCAAAACTTAATTGATATAATGAAGACAGTAGCAGCTGACATCGATTTTCAATAGTTATCTTGTGAGATGTCTCTCATGTATTATTTATTAGGGAGGATGATTTGTTGAAGACGATGCATTAACACAGATGCTTTTTCATCAAGAGAATCTCAATAATTTAGGATTTATTCAAATACACACATATTCGATACTATGACATTAAATGTGGGCTTACTGCTCATGCACAGGGATTGATGGGGGAGAGTGTGGCATTTTTCATGTTTCAGATTGACCTTTTGCACAGCACAGGGACTGAACATATTATGTATTTGGCATCTGTAAAGTATAAACAATATTTGACGCGAGGGATTGAACATTATGTAGAGAAAATCTTCACAAGCTTCCACTTCCATGACTCCTTCCTCATCTATCTCCTTTAAAGCCCCTTGAATAAGGGCCACAGTCTCTTCTATGGTTGAATGGTCATTGAAAGTGAGCTTCCACTCACAAGGTATATAAGCCCCCCCTCCAACCTGTTTCCCTCTTACCCATTTTTGAAAGGGTCAAAGGAGGGGCTTTTGTGGTAGGTAAGCCTGTGACCACACCACAAAGAAACAAAAAAAACATGTTTAATTTTATTGAGGTAGGGTTGAATTTGGACATTAAATTTTGCATTACAGTGGAACATAAGGCGAACCTAAAGCAATATTTTGCCCTCAGAGCACAAATATGTCGTTCTGAAGATATTTAGCATTTTGTCTTCATGGTTCCTTTTCCCAGCTTTTTGGCACAAACGCGACAACATGTTTGTAATGTCTCCCGATGTTTGTCTACATTTTTGACGGAAATCCTGATCAAAATAAAAGAAATCAATATAAGAACCTACTCACACTGATTTTAAACTCATTCCACACACATGATCTGGATCAACAAAGTGATTTCTAGTTGAGAGTCGCATACGTTGCCGGTGAACACGACCAAAAACAGACCTGATCGAATATAACTAAAACTACATAGACAGACTAAGGCATAACCATCAATATCATTTAGGCAATAACGATTTTAATATTGCTTTATATGAAATGACGCATGGACCTCTACATTATGATAGCGAACGATTAAGCTCTCTTTTGTACAACCCAATTGATAATTCGTCTGTCTCTAATCAGTTTTTCTTTAATGAGTTAGATCCAGATCAACAGTTTACTTTTTCTCCTCCTCCTAGTAATTATTATACTGAGGATGAAATTAATGCTAAGCTAACTAATAGTTCAAATTCTCCTTGCTTCTCTGTATTTCATATTAATACACGAAGCCTAATCGGTCATTTAGATAAATTTAAATTCCTGCTTAGTCATTTGCAAAATCCATTTTCTGCCATATGCGTATCGGAAACCTGGCTAACTGAGCTTACGTCGGACCAGGTGGAAATACCTGGATATAAATTTATTTCGAACCACCGCGATAGCAAGTCCGCCGGTGGAGCAGGTCTTTATTTACTTGACGATTTAGAATACAAATTATGCCGCGATTGTAATTATTCTGAACCTGAAGTGATCGAAACTCTTTTTGTTGAAATTAACATTCCCAATGGGAAAAATATTATAGTTGGTACTGTTTATCGTCCGCCTAATTATAACACTCGGGACTTTTTGGACAAATTTAATGAGATTCTTGCTAAAATAACTAGAAATGACAAATATTGTTATTTGGGTGGAGACTACAATATAGATCTGTTTCACTATTCCGATCATGCCCCTACTCAAGAATTTGTTGATAGTCTATTTTCCCATATGTTCATTCCTCTAATCAATAGACCGACTCGGATCACTGCTCATTCGGCCACACTTATTGATAATATATTCACGAATAATGTAAGGTGTAAACATTTCAATGGTATTGTTATTAATGATATTTCTGACCATCTACCGGTTTTTTGTTTATGAAGTGGATGAGACAGAAATAGCGTCGAAAAATAGCCAAACTAAATATCTCACTAAAAGAGATTTTTCAGAAAGAAATAAGAGCAATTTTCGGCTCTCTCTTTCTCGTGTTAATTGGAATTTACGTTTCGATGAAAGCGATACTAATGAATGTTATAATAGTTTTGTGAGTGAGTATGTTCGATTATACAATGAAAGCTTTCCATTAAAAACGATAAAACTTAAAACAAAGAAAGTAATGCGCTCCCCTTGGATAACGCAATCTCTGCTTGTTTCTATCAGGAAAAAAGATAAACTCTATAAGCAGTTCATTAATTCTAGGGACTCAACTACTGAGTTAAAATACAAACGCTATCGGAACAAACTGAATCATCTTATAAAAATTGCTAAAC